CGTCGCAGAAGGCGCGGGCAGCTGCGCTCAGACTTTGTGATGTGGACGACGGCAGGCTCCGGGCAGTCGGCGGGCCGGGTCCATTGAGCGAGCCGGCAGAAAGAGGGGCGGCAAGGGGCTAAATGTGGCCGAGGGAAGAGCACTCTGCGGCTCTGCCGATCACCGCAGCACTCCGGACCGTGCACTGCGTGCCGCAGTGACACCTGCATGTGCAAAACGTGGCCGCTCCACATGAGGATAGTCGCAAGCGCAAACGCGCGACTAATGCGTGGGTGATGCGTGCGTCGGCAGTACATCATCCTATGTTCACACTTCGCAACATGCCCTCATTCTCAATCACGTTTTGTAAGATGTGAGGGGACACCCGGCCTGCGCTCCACCTGACCTGCAGGCTCTCCATGAGGTGTATGGGCCCAGCCAGCTCGGCGATGAGGTTGTGGCCGGCCACCAGCTCCCGCAGCCCCGCCAGCCCCAGCAGCGCAGCCGGCAGCGCCGCCAGCTGGTTGTGGCCCACTGAGAGCACCTCCAGGGATCTGCGGATCCGTTGGGTTTGCAGACGGTCGCACGGGCGCGATGCATCGTGGCGCGAGCGAGGGGGCCCTTCAATGCAGGCCGTCTCGCACCTGCTTCCATTCCAGCCCCACCCCCTCCCGCCAAACAACCACACACAGGAAGTCCAGCAGCCCAAGTGCTGGTAGGTGCGATCCAACCCCTCGGCGGGCACCTTATCACCCACAACCGCGCATCACGGCGCTTTCGAGGTTGCTGCGTTGTGACTTTTTCCTGACTGCCGGCCGCTCACCCGAGCTCGCCTATGTCATCAGGCAGGGCTTTCATATTGTTGTGCGACAGCTCCAGAACCTTGATCCTCGGAAGGCACGTCAGCACGCCCTTGGGCACCATCTGGTCGTGCAATCAGATGGCGTCACAGTGCGCGCGTGCTGGTGAGAGCGGCACGCACGTACGCATGGGGCTCCTGGTCGACCGATGCCGCCTGCCACGGCGCGTGCTGCTCGACGGCTGCAGACGCCCTGTCAGGGAGCCAGGGCGGGCTAAGTGTGACTGCATGCGGGCCGCCGACCGCACCTCGATCTTATTGTGAGAGAGGTCCAGCAGCTCCAGGCCCACCATGGACATGATCTGTTTTTGGGTGTGAGGCGGGAAAAAGAAGCGGCGGGCACATGTCACCAGAACATGTGACGTGAACAAAAGCAGCGCAAGGACCCATGCCGCCTGCTTTGGCAGCCTATGATTGAGTTGTGTCTGTTGATGATCAACACACGTTGTGGGTGCCGGCCAATCACGCGCTTCGTCTACACATGGGCCCTCCATTGCACAAGCAGCACACACGCTGCCCAGCCCGATGACCACGCTGACTCTGAGGTGCGCACCTTGGCCGGCACGGCAACGATCCCCTCATTGCGCTTGACATATTCACATACGGGAGGCTTTATCGGGGGGTCATCCATCCTCGCGGAGTTCTTGTCCGAAGCCATCTGCACCACGTGCTGGCCGTCTGATTGATTCAACCGAATGATCTTATTATTATAAATTCATAATTTATTATCACGAGCACCACAGAAACTTGCGAGCACTTGTGATCTGGTCTGTCTAGACTCTGGCCAGGTGCACGTTGGAATTTGTACAAAGAAAGATTACCCCACCCTTGCACTCCCACATTAGAGGGTTCTCAATGTTGTTTGACTGTCTTTGGCTGTGTTGACTCGACCCAGCGCGGTGCGGTCGTCACCGCGCCAGGGCACTGCTCGCACTACCCATCGGGCCCCAACCGCCGTCGATTCGGTGCCCACCTGCTGCAATCGGCTAAAGCTGCGGCCTGCCTGATCCCTGGAGATGTCCCAGGGCCCAGGGCCAGACAATGACATGTCTCGTGGGTTGGTGCCGCGAGCTGTACCATCATTTGTTGCTGCATGTGTGGTGCAGCGACTGATGTTCGGCTGTCTTGTTTCAATGCCGTCACGTCCTCCGTGCGGCAATTGTTCGTCCACCCGGTGTTCCAAACTCCAAGCATAGTGGCGGGAGAATCCAGGCAGCCAAGACAAATGGGACTGGAAATCAAAGCTTACTTTCACTCAAGATATGGTCAAAGATATGGTCATATCGATATGCGTAGACAGAGCCAAAGAATACAACATTAGAAGTCATCCGGGCAAAACACACAACAGTCACATTTAACATCTTGCACTACAAATTGGCATACGTGGCCCCCCAAACACACAAAGGCACGCACACACGCACACGCACACGTGCACACGAGTGGGCACATTTGCAGCGCCCGTCTCGCGGCGCGGGCCGGCAGGCTGCAGTGCCCCGCCCTACCTCCCCTCTCCACATTGTGCACGTGGACGCCTCAGGTTGAAACAGATGCCCGACAGCCTAAACTGCACCAAGTGTGAGCCACACACCTGTGGGTACAACATCAAATCAGCTCGACCTCCACATCTGCGAGCTGCGGCCCATGGCGCCGCCGCTTGGCGCCTGTCTTTGGGTCGATGAAATCCTCTGCGAAAGGGAATAATGTTGCATGGGAGGCAGCGATGTGAGATAAAAATGCGAGACGTGTTCATTACAGAATGCCGTATTGCAATATGTTTGTGTGAAGGTGTTGTTGTGTATCTGTGTGTTGTGCGTGTGTGTGTGTGTGTGCATGTATTCGTGTGTGCATGTGTGTATGGGCCCACAGCATATGTGAGGTCAGTAGCAGCAGCATGTTCGATAGACAAAGGTGCATGCCCGCGCTGCAGTCAGGGTGGCAGGTGCGCAGCCAGGCAACCGGCATGGGTTTACACGGCGGCGGATCCCACAAGGGCGTGGGGGCGAGGAAGGGGGGCGCTGCGTGCGCCTCACCTATCACAGCCCGCTCTGCCTCTCGGGCTTCCCTTGCAAGCCGTGCGGCCCTGGCTTCAATTTTCGCGTCGAGCTGCGACACCAGGCGGCGGCGAGAGAGTCAAGACAGCTCAACGGGGTTTTGCAGGCGGTGCATCCCTAGGCGAGCCGTGGCTGTGGTTTTAGACAGAGCGACACCTGGCGCATGGCACCCGACACGCCCGCGCCTTCGCCTCGCCACGCACCCGCGCTTGCTGCCGCTCGCCCGCGGCGTCCTCGGCCGCGTCGCGCTTGCGCTGTGCCGCCTGCTGGGCAAACCTCTTGTCCGCGCGATCGTCCTTTGTGCGCTCTATGGCGCTCAGGCTGCCGTGTTTCCGCTCAGCAACCTCCTGCACCTTTGGTTGTGACGCGATTGAGATGTGTATGTTGGTGACGTGTGAGTCAGTGGTGTTTGTGTGAGGTTTAGCTGAGGGTGTGGGTGTGTCTAAGAGTGCTGTGTGTGTGGGTGTTGTGTGTGAGTGTGTGTGTGTGAGAGTGTGTGTGTGTGAGAGTGTGTGTGTGTGTGTGAGTGTGTGTGTGTGTGTGTGTGTGTGTGAATATGTTTGTTTGAGAGAGGAGGGAGTAAAGAATGGAAGCCCGCCCACGACCGACGGCAGAGCGATGCCTGCAGGTGTTGATGCCGAGCCTGGGCAGGGCTGTCTTGGCGCTGGCAAGCCGCCCTTGTTAACTTGCATCCCGCATCCCAGGGCTGAGGCAGCTGCCGCGCCAAGCAGGTGGCAAATGCACTACAGTTGGCGTGGCTGATAAGCGCACCTGGCTGAGAAGGTACATGCGCATGCTGCTCCAGCTCTTGTGCTGCGGGTTCGGCTTCTCCAGGCTGCCCAGCTTGCTGCGATGCCGATGTGGCGGCCCGGGCGGTGATGAGTGGCGGAAACATGAAGGATGGACAATGGTGATTATTGAGGGTGGTGCCAGTGCAAACTGCACGCCCCAGGCGTCATGGAGGCGTGCAACGCAGAGCAATCAAGCGAGGCAGCTGCCGTCATTTCACCTACCCGAGGTCGCCATCGCTCAATAGGTAAGTTGACTGCGGTCGGCGCATGCAACAGGGCGCGCCAGTGAGGCAGCAGGAAATTGCACGGTACACAGGCCCGCCTGCCTTGCACCGCCTGTTCTGTCGTGCATCCGTGCCAAGCATGCACCGCCGCTGCGTCCAGCACGCGTGCGCCGCTGGGCCACGGCCAACGCACCTTTGCCTTCGACTTTGATATCAAGCTGTCCTGCTTCCGGCACTGCCAGCACAGCGCCACCCCAAAGGCGTCCAGCCACGCGGCGTCGACCTTCGGGCCGCTGCAGTGGTCGCAGGACGCGGTCGAAGCGACGGGCGCGCCGGTGGCGAAGGACGACGAGGCGTCGCCGCCAGGACCGCCCCCAGGACTGAAGGCGCCCGGTGTCGCCATGCCCATGCGGTCGACACGGATGGGGAGGCCGAGTCCTGTTGCGGCGACAACGTGGGGCTCGTGCTGCAGCAGGCGACGCTGCTGTGCGCGCTTCGCTGCAAGTGGCAACAAAGTTGCACGCCGAATGCGGGGGCCTGATGCACTTCAGTTCTGAAGAAACACGTCTTGCAAAGTGAATGACGCTAAAGACGAGAGTGCCTTCGGGCTTGCGAGATACAGTCTTAGTCACGACTGAAATGAGATCTATGCAGACTCAATGCTTGCACAGATAATCTGGTATGATGATTGATTAAGGTATGATCTAAAGCTGTACGGTCCACGGGTGTGAACGCACGCTTTGTGATCTCACGGCGCTGCTCGGTGTCCCTGGTGGCGCGGGAGAGCCAATGATGCACACGGGTAAGCTACCTGCATATCATAGTTTGACATACGCATCGGTTGACACGCCGTCGTGGGTATGCTGGTAGCGGGTCGTGCTTGCCGCGCCGATCTCCTTCGGAGCGACATCACCGGTTGGGCACCACCACACAGTCGTCACCCTTTCTCCCCCGTTCTCTCCAATACTCTCCCAGGCGCCTTGCGCCGGCCGGCGGCCGCGTTGGCGCCCCAGCGGACGCCCCTGCGCGCTCGCCGCGCCGCCTCGGCCGTGCCCCCGCTGGGCACCGGGCGCCTCGCCGCCGCCGCGGCCAGCCC